CTTAATGTCCACTGCCTTTAAAAAAAAATGACATTCTAAAAAAAACAAAAAAAAAATAATAATAACTTAAGAATACAGACAAAATAAAATTACAATAAAGACAATCATGAAATGTTCAATGTATGGTATACAAGAAAAATTGTTGCTATAATGTAATTTTTCTTTATCAGTAGGCCTATCTACACAATGAAATTAAAAAAAAAAACTATTATACATTTTGTATAACTAAAGCACTGACTCATCTCTTACAGTAGCTTTCTATAATTAGTACAAATAAGAAAGACAAACATTATCTCCTTTGTCAGGGTGATTTACTTGAAAGCAACTTCACACTCATTGGAATAGGGCTGAATTGGGTTTGATGCTTACTATGGACTTTTCTGTTTACTAAAAAAAATAAATAAATAAAGCACTCTACAGGCAGAATTAGTGATAATACTACACTTTTCAAAAAATCTGAAAATGAGTAAATTAAATAGAAATATTTTGTGCACATTCAGCAATTCTATACTGCTTTTAAAAATGAGGTCTAAATGTTTATTATTTTAATATTTGGGGTACTTATAAGTCTTAAGCACATTAAAGTTTAAACCTGAGTCAGAACGAGCCATATTTAAAATGAATTTAATTGTTAGGTTCTTTATATAACTGTTAACATTTTTTAGTTTCGAAATACCTTTCAGTTTCGGTAAAGACAGCATCTTATGACCTGTCCATTCTTAAAGGTTATACAAAATAAAAACGCAGGAGAATTTTCGTCATAAATTTTATTTTAAAACCTTCCACGAAAGTCGGATCTTCGAAAGTCAATGAAATGAACTACTGTAGCTCCTATACAGAGTATTGTGTTTTCCTTGTCAAATTGGCACGAGAGCTACTAGAGGCCAATTAGCAAACAAATCCTACTGTGACTGGAAGTATCTTATGGTAATAAACTTGGGCAGCACGATGTTTTTGTAAACCACGTTCAGTTTGTGTCAGCGTGGTTGGATTTATCTCTGTCCACCGGTAGCACAACGGATAACAGCTAGGATGCTAGAACAAATTACTAAAGAAATAGGCTACAGCATTGGCGCGCAGTCTTAACAACAAGCATTTCGTGAGAGAACAGAACAACTTTATGCACCAAACAACGGTCAATTTTTGGGTTGGTAGAGATGCTAGCCCAATTCGACTCAACCATATTCGAATAAATATTAAGAACTCCATATATTCGGGCAAATTATTCAAAACGAGCTTATGGACCTGATTAGATCAGAAGTAGGCCTAAAAGGGAAAGTTATTAATAAAATCAATCAAGGAGCAGATGTCCCTTCAATTGCGTCACGTGGACGTATCAGATACAGACGTTAAAGTGGAGAACACTTCATCGAATTTGTAGATGTTGATAACGCAATACGAAATGGTTTGTCAGAGGCTCTTCTCACCGTGCCGGAGAACCTTCGTCTGGATATCGCCGACTGTCGTAGCCAGTGATCTGGCAATGGTGCGAACATGAAGGGAAAGCACCAAGGCGTTAAAACGCACATTATTCACACTAACAGTCAATCATTTTACACTCCGTGCGGCTGCCAATAATCTGAAATTTGTTTTAGAAGACATAGCTAAATGCAACTCTAAAGCTGTGACGTTTTTTAATATCATACAGAGATGTTTTTATATGAAGTTTTAGCTGCGTCATCTGAAAAAATTTTGGAAGACACTGTGCCTTTCATGGCAACAAAATCACTGTCAGAAACACAATGGTAGTGCCGCCTGGAAAGTTATAATTCGCTACGCCATCGAACGAAAGAATTCTGGAGGCGCTATTGACTGTCGCTGTCACCGCCAATGATCAATTGGGGAAAAGTAAAGCCGAATGTCCAAGGAAGCTTTAAGGATTTTTTTATCAGCTTTATCTTATAGTATGATATTTGATTTGCTATGAATACTGTCAGCAAAACGTTGCAATCTGCTGACATGCAAAGGCCTTCTTGCACTTTTTAGAAAGTTCCGGGACAAAGATTTTTCTGGTGCACCGAACATAACAAAGATAATAAAAATTGATTCTGAAATTCAGGGAACAGAGAGTCTGACAAAGAATCAGACGAAAGAAATAAAAACAATTTGATTAAGAGAGTATAGATGAATCAACATTTTCGCCAACAGCGTCAGTGGCGGACGAGCCCATTAGCGAGATGTTACGATATATATGGAGCCCTGCATATGACACTCGCCCAGTGCCCCGCGCACTGCTAAGCCTCTTTTGTCTAGATATATATATAGTATAACCCGATGTTCAGGCCAGATTTAAGTATGTGAAGGCCCTACACTATTTCAAAAGCTTAAAGATCCACAGATAAAAATACTTATACCTCAAAGCATGCAATATTTTAGAAGAAAGAAGTAAAGTAGGCCCTACTTGTCACTTTCCCTTTTTTTTTTTTTAAATTTAATATGAATATTTTAGTTTTAAAAAAATGTGGAGGGTACGGTTCTTGGTAGACGCACTGTCGTAAATCCGAAGCTGTAGGCGTAGACCTATAATATCGTTATCTATCGTTATGCTATAAGCATAAAAGTAGCGCTCTATAAAAGCTATAGAAATAATCTACATATGATCCGAGCCTGCTATATAGGGCCTACAAGCGGACTCTTCTTAATCACATTACTGCCACCCGATGTAAGATTTAAAAGATAAAAAAAAATACTTAAATGTTTCTGACCTGTTGCAACTCCAATACATTTTTCTCTTTTATGGAGTCTCCTTTCTTGCCTGCCCTGCTCCGTTAAGTTTGGCCCTGTATATGTTTATAAAATATTTGACATGTTTCGGACGTTCCTTCAGAGTTGAAGATAACCTACTCCCTAGTCCAAACCTCTCGCAAGACCACGCGGGGTGGTAGCGAGCAGTGTATGAACGGTGGACCACCGAGACAACAGAACGACAGTCCAGCGCACATTCAATGTATCCATCCAATGTAGATAGTAGATCTAGCTCGAGACAACAGAACGACAGTCCAGCGCACATTCAATGTATCCATCCAATGTAGATAGTAGATCTAGCTCCCGCTCCTCAATAAAGAATGAATGACTAGATTTAGATCTTTCATTTGAAACATTCTTCTAACCCCTAATCAGGAAGGTTCCTGGTGTTCACTGTTTCAAAACTTCAGGCTTTTTTCACTGGTGTTTCTAGACGAACAACTGAGACACCACTTTGCCTTAACTGGCATGGAGGAAAGCAGCTGCCGATAGCCTCTGAAAGAGACAGCTAGAGAGCACTCACGATTGTTGCAAGAATCGAAAATTATCTTACATTATTCTAGACTGCGTGCTCTAAGACCTCATTCACCAATCGTAAACAAACAACATTTAGCCACGTGGTTCTCTATCTCTTCTATACAAATTATTAATCTATAAAGGCTCTCACGTGATACCTTTTTTTTTCCCCATTGTTTTATCCATATTATCACGTGGCTAAATGTTGTTTGTTTACGATTGGTGAATGAGGTCCAAGTAGCGTTTGGTATCCAAAAGATTGCAATATCAAACTATTTTAACGAGTAAAAAAAAATAGTATCTCCTTTATACATCTTAGCCTATAGAGTGATTAGTTTGCTTTGAATAACGAATGAATGTTATGATTTAAAAAAAAAAAAAAAGGAGCATTTTTTACTCCTCACTATTCTACACCCTCCCCCTTTTCTTCTTTCATTGAGGAAAAAAAATCCTGTATACGCGAAAGTAAAAGTCTACTAGATGTTCCTTCAGAGTGTAGATAATCTAATTTATAGTCCTAACCTGCAGCAGGACGACGGGGGTGGCAGCGGGCTGAGTATGAACTCGGTACCATCGACAAGTCCGAATGCCAAACGACCAGGCAGCCATCTAATGTAGACTTAGTTCCCGCGGCTCAACAACGATGAATGACCTAGATTTGTAGATGTATAGTCTATGCCGCTATGGTATTTTCTAGTCCTCAAGCAAAATTTAGCTTATTTTTTTTTTAAGACTGAAAAAATTATAACGGTCAAACTAGTTTCTAGGTAATTTTGGAATTTTCTCAATTAATATAAATCAGTTGTAAAATTTATAGGAAAATCTTTAGAGCAGTTTTCGAGATCAGTGTTCATGCTCAAGAAGGTACAAGATGAATAGAAGTACCGGTATAATAAAAATGGTTCTTTTAGCATATTCCTAAAAAAAAAAAAAAAAAAACTGTTCCACCTACAGCGGAAAAACCAAATATTCCTCCTACCTGTAATGATACTGGAGCTACCTAAACTCATTTTGAGCAGACATAATTCCTAAAAAATAATGAGGTGAACTAAAAAACATAGGTGTACAGGTATTGAATACAGGTAATTGATTATCAACTGATTGGAATAACTACCTTACAATTATGTATTTAACTTAAGCGATGGCATTGTCAAATTATAACTGCTTTATTTTAATCATAATACGGGTATCCTTTGACTGTCATAGACATCAGTGTTTCAAAATATTCTATTTTTGTTTGCAAATTATAGTTGTAAGTACATCATACGGGCAAATTATAGCTAGAACTTACTAGAAGTGTTTTTTTTTTACCACTTCTGACACACTGTCAGTGTTTCTGTTCAACAAAAGTTAGATGTATTTTTTTCATTTAATTCAGCCTAACCTTTCCAAGTTCAACTGTTTCTGTTCAATTTAAGTTAGATGTATTAGTTTCATTTAATTCAGCCTAACCTTTCCAAGTTCAACTGTTTCTGTTCAATTTAAGTTAGATGTATTAGTTTCATTTAATTCAGCCTAACCTTTCCAAGTTCAACTGTTTCTGTTCAATTTAAGTTAGATGTATTTGTTTCATTTAATTCAGCCTAACCTTTGACTGCCATAGATGTCAGTTGTTCAACCCTTGAGTTTAGAAAGTCTCAAGAATCAATATTGTTAGTAACATTAGCACAAAAATTATTTAGAGCATTATCAATAAGGTTAGTGAAAACTAGAAATTCAAACATTAAGAAAACGAAATGTTGAAATATTTGGCTAAATTTATTTATATTAAAAAAAAAAAAAGTATTGTACATCACTTAATAAGTAGAATATTAGAAAACCACTTTTCAAACTGCTACACAAGAAATGGTTAACTTTCTAAACAATGACCTTCCATAGTATATTTAATTGACCTAACTCCAATAACCTAATTAATTAACGAAGACAAAATATAATCCCACACACAATTGTAGGCCAGTTGTTTTATTGTCACTTCTTCCATACAATGACAAAATATATATAGATATATATATGATTTTAAAAGTCATCTGGCAGAAGATAAGTTTTTTCTTTAGAATTGTCTCCATAAGATGGGCAAAACTACTTTTGTATCATTAGCAGGACAGAACATGATCAGTATTGACAGCCTTAAGAAAACTGTCTGAGGAATATCCAAGTGTTGTCAACAAAGCAAGCCAGTCAAAATTAAGATTGAGCAATTATTTCTTGGTTGTTTTTCTCTAGCCAACTTGCAGAAAACAAAACAAAAAAATAATCAAAAGTATTTTCTTCTAACTATTAGGATCAGTAGACTCACAAATGTTAAGCTGGAGTTTGTTTTATTTAAATGCTCTTTTATATTTATGAATAACAATTACACTTTACCAGTTAAGTTAGAACAATTTAATAAGACATTTCAATTCAAAGCTGATTAGTATTTGTAGACTGCACAAAATTTTGTTTTAAACCCAAATAAAAAAAAAAAAAAAAGAAACAAATATTGACAGAGATGTGTTCATTTAAAATCTAGTTCACTATTCCTTTTCAGTAGAACAGGAACTGAAATGGACTTTGAAGAATAAAAAAGAACATAGTCTTCAATCCATGGAATACAAATTCATTCATTAGCACAAGCAATTCAATCATCACATTCAAACCAAATTTCAAACTTCCTTATGTCAGCAACTGAAAGGTCTCACCAAGATGTGAGCAGTAGAGTGTCATCAGTTCACTTATGATTGTGTGTATACAATTATTAGCAAGCCTCCAATCACAAAAGGTAATACTTAAATCCAATGTTTACCAGCTGAGTTTTTGTTTTGACTACAGCAGAGCAAAGGCTAACTAAACTGCTGCTTATTACATTTATTATGCTTACACCAATGAAACAAAAACCTTACTGGTACAGCATTTTCCCTGATATATAGATATTACTAAAGGACTAAAACCATAACAGTTTAAAGTTTCTTGTCATAGGGGAAAATGTATTTATTTTTCATGTAAATAGTAATAGTAAGAAAAGTTCTAAAACATGCATGAAAAACATTTCATATGCAAATACTTTATCCATAATTTATAATAATAATTGATGTATACATGTATGTACATGTATTCTAAGGAAATTTTGTAATAATGCCAAAACTTCAAATTACACAAGATAGTCTTAAAATATTGTGAATTCTTTAAGTACAATATATATAATAATGAATGTTTCAATTTTTTAAAGTACAATTTCAATTAAAATCATTATAAATTTTGAATGCTGTGAATCAAAATTGTTACTGAAAAGACACTATTCAATAATTTGACAGAAATAATAATCACTGATAAACTTCTTTCAAAAGATGATGTAAATGCTACATAGCCATGAATTGCATACTTGAAATAAAAGTAAGACAACCACAGAATTTACAGCTTGGGTTTTGTTACGAATAAAAAGAAAATGTATCTATGTTCATTTCTAACAGAGACAATAGGTCACAGAAACCTAATTAATTTAGAATTACACAAATCAAAGTTCTGCCATTTCCTGAATGACAAAACAGGCAATGAACTTGAGAAAAGTAAAAAGCCGCTTTGATTTGTACTATAGAAGTACCCTATATCTCAAAACTATAGATCCAATGTAAGTCCTAGAAAAATATGATGTGAGTTCTTGGCTGCTTCTTTTCTCACGGTGTCATAATTCATTCACTCTGCTGGCAAAAGTATCAAGTAGCTTTGAATTAATTTGGGTGTTTTCAAGTAGCAGTCAAATCAGTCAATAGTTGGGGCAATTCCACTGACCAGCCGATGAGAGGAATAGAGGTGGACCATGTAGGGCATTAGCTGGGGGCGGGGAAGTGTCATAGATGCCGTCAGTCACCGTGTTGCCAAGGCTGTTGCAGTCGGGAAGTTGTCCTGTCTTAGTCTGAAAATCCTTCATTTGGGCATCTGAAAAAGATTTTTAAAAAATTTAATAGGCCTATACACATCAAATTTCATCTTGAAAAGTTTTTTAATAAAAAAAAAATAAAACATCAGAAAACAACCAATCAGTCAGAATTTCAGACTGGGGCGGCATCGATTCATCATAAATTAAACTGGCATAGAAAAAAAAAGTTACAAGTGAAAAAGAAAATTTTAATTATATCAATTTAAACTGTTTAATTAAGAATATTATTCATTACCTACTATGGGGAAGTTGGGATATTACACAACAAAGAAACAAAACATGCCCCCCCCCCCCCCCCAATTAATAACAAATCGTAACAAAAAAATTAAATGAACCTTAAAATGCAAGCAAACTAATATTTTGTATATGAAAATGCTTTGCTGTTTAAATAATTAGAATAACGAAGCAAATAAACCAATGAATACTTATAATGTATGCTAGTAAAAGGTTTAATAAACACATCACATTATCCTGGACTCTGTCTATGTAACTGAAAGGGGACATATTTATGCCACAAATCCTATAAATCCTTTTATTCCATTAGGTTGAAAATGTGGAATTTTGGGCCCCAATGTGAAACATACACGCGTTTACGCTTGTCAGCCATACTGTACGTAATAAATAAAACTTCAATTATATTACTTTAATAACAATACTAGTTTGCTTCTTATAAATTAGATGAAAATAGTATAATTAAAAGTAAGAAAACCATTAATTCATAATTATGTCCTTTGTTTGAAATCAATAGTTCTAACTCCTATACTATATGATGAATTGAATTCTAACCAAAATGTATTCTAATGACATGACTCAAATGTTACTATCTATTTTTATTTGTTACTACTATATCTAAATGTAATGACTAGATCTAGATTATTCCAAATCTACTTGATAATCTATCCTTTTCTAGGGCTCTAAACTAGTCACTCTAGATGTCTCTAGTTCTAGATCTAAAATAATTTAAGAGTCAACTAGTACTAGTTTAGACTCTACATCTAATAAGTCCTCTGTCAGGGATGAATGTGTGTATGTATGTATAATCTATTTTTACAATCTGCGCGAACGACCAGAAGTGTGTTGGTTGTCAGAGAGAGTCCAGCTTGTGTGATATGCTGTAATGATTATTAAATGTTTCTGTGTTTGATCGAGTGTTACTTGTTTATTTGTAAATTACAGCTGAACCAGGGACACCTAGACATATCGAGACCTAAGGTAGTTTGTATCGAATTATAAGTAAATGAACACAGATTACAATAATTATATTATAGATCTACACATTTATTTTAATAATTTAATTTTAATAATGTTGTATTACATAATAATTACACTGCATAAGCTTTAATGTACACATGCACACGAAATGCATGCAAGTCACTATTGTTTGTACATATAGATGACAGGAGAAAGCTTTTTTGCAGATGCTTTATATCTGGGTCCAGGCAGTCTGAGCATTCTATAATAGATAACTGCTTTACTGTTATTGTAACAACTCTCTCAAACAACTATAAAGAATTAATGTGTTGAAAAAACCAAAACATGTTTGAGTTTTGGAAATACTTCAAAAGTATGAGCCACACTTCTGTTTTTTTCACTGATTATTAAATTTTATACAGGAGAAACTGTTTATTAAACTTTGTACATGATGTCCACCAAAAAAAATGCTTGAAATAGAGAGAAAGCAAGCATTAGTAATGATTAGTTATTACTTAGATATATAGAAAAAACTTTTGAACTCATGGAAGTCGGCAGGTTCAAAATAGAAAAATCTAGATCTAGAGGCCATCGTATCAACAGAGTAAAAATTAATAGCGCATAGCGGACGGGCATAATGATACTCTCAAGTCTGATATTTTTCTGAACTTTTCAAAAGCTGGCACGCAGCCATTTGAAGTCTAGATGCTCTAAATCTAGATAATCAATTCAAATTAAAGAAACTAGCTGAAACTGGATATCTTATCTAGAATATATCTATCTAAACTGATTCAAACCTCTCTGGACACTCAATTCTCTAAGCTAGACAATATGATAACACAAGATTTTTGTAAAAATAGAACTTTAACTGTGTCTAAAGACTGGATGTGGGCATGTTCAAAACAAATCTTATTTCGCATTCTTCCAAAAATGGAAAAATAATAAAATCGGATATTCTTTCATAAAAAAAAAATTGAAAAAAATTTTCGGATTCATTTGCTAAAAAATCAAATCAGATGAAATTTTCAGAAAATTCCCATGAGTGTATAGAGTTAAACAATTTTTTTATAACAAAACTTTTGAACCAAAGTATATATGCATATATATATATATAAAAAACAGCCAGCATTGGGTGTGTAAAAGCCTCTCAATACTAAGATGGCCAGACTAGTTAAAGGAAACAAAACTTCTATCTCAAGTCAGGGCTACTATTAAAGTTTTAAAAAAATAGAGAAGCAATACTAAATTTGAATTTTGAGCGATAAAGCTGGGGGTAAATTTGAAAAAAAAAATTTATTGAGGGGTTTTAATTTTATTAAAATATTTGATAAATTACTTGTTAAAAAAAACAACAAGTAATACAGTTACTAGTAAACTGCCTCAGAAAGACTAATCGTAAGCACAGTAAGTATTCACCAAATTACTAATTTCATCATAGGCAGTTTTAAAATGGAAAAATTATAGTGACACACTAACCATGATGAAGCAGCATTTTTAAGTTTCCTGATTTCCTTGGTGGCCCATGTGGCAAGAGTTTTAGCCTTTTGAACTTTGCTGCGCCTTCCTTGGGTTAGTAAATTGGTTATACTTTCTCTATCCACCATTGGTAGCATGCTGCTTCCAAATGCAGAACATAGGTCACTGTTAAAAAAAAAAAATTATAAGCTTTTTAAACAAATTAATGAATACAGATATGAATCAATATAAACAGAGTTCATACTACTTATGTAAAAACATTTCAGACACTTCAACTATGCACGCACATTTTTATTAAAGAAATCAATAAACTAAATGATAAACGAGTATGTTACATAAATTTAACATTTGCAATAAGAACAATTTACACCTGGCCTCAATGATTACAAAAAAGGTTACCACTGTCTAAAGAGAAACTAATTCACTACTACATTCTCTAGATGTAGATGCAGACTACATGAAACTAGACTAGAACATTATTATTAGTTTTTAACAATTTAATTTTTTAAGCCTGGTGTCTATTCTACAGACTTAACACTGAAAAGACGCTCTCATTATCATTTGGATGAAAGTAAACAGATAAAATAGAGGATAAAAATGTCGTTCTGTAGAGAAAGTCAAGTCATTGGAATAGACTATTTAATCATTTTTATTATTATCCCATACTATTTTAAGAGGCCCCAACAAGACTCTGAACCCAAAACATTTCTATAGAACAAAAACTATACGGAGAACTGCCTGATCTGGAAAACCACTGCACGGTAAATCTCAGATATAGGATTACTGATCTGTACCCTCTGTACCCTGTTAGATCTAGTCGAATTGGAGATTGGAATGCAGCTAAATTTGATGTGATATTTAAATGTTATTGAGCTGTGTAGACCTATTTATGACTTGA